AGACTCTTCGGAGTTTCGTGAGATGCGCACTGCTGATGATTCCCAATAAGGATGAAACAGCTGTACAGTGCTTCTCGGTTTTTCAGCACAGATTGGTTTCACTTACAGGACGAAATCTCCGCAGTGTCAGTCTTTATTGTAGATGTGTGTTTAGAAGGTTCACCTTGCATCTGTCCTTCAGTTAAAAGTTATGGGATCCGGATGAGCTGACTTTGAAACATTCGAGTCCACTTGGTCGTTCATTTTACTCTGTCAGTGGTGTTCTAATGTGAAGTGCAGTCTCAAGAAACTTTGGGCGTAATATTTCGACCATTGGTGAATACGTCTCTCTGATCACCGGATAATGGCCTTCAACTGTTTGCGGGTTATGCTATGTATGTAACGTGAATTCTGCACTTCTGAGATTTGGGCTTGGATTTCACCGAGCTGCCAACATCCGTCTGAGAAGGTTCTTGGGACGAATATCAGTGATTGCAGTTAAAATTCTAGGCGTCTCCGTCATAACTTGGTTGCTTACGATTTGTTTGCAAAATATATTATCCTGAAATGAAGCTCCATCCATTTAAGTGAAGCTTGCCTCTAGTAGTGTGAGGGGATTGTGAAATGTCGACAGAGCTTTCGTCCTGTAAATGAATTCCGAATGAATCCTGAAAGGCCGAAAAACATCCTTACTGTAAATCATTAGCACGCGCGTCACACAAATCGCTGGAAGTTCCGACCTAGCATCTCCAAAAACTCATAATAGCTCGGGAGGGAAGAGTGAACCTTCCATCACTCGAGGAGCCAGTCAACAATTGACTACGTTACCTGAATACTGCAACTAAAGGATATGTGGCGTGCACCGTTAATTACACTGCTGAGCAGTCGCTTGTAAACACTAACGTGGTGGTTGCGGGTTCAAATCCGTCACGAAGAGACTGGAACTTATCGTGGTTTGACGGTTTCCTCACCTCAGCGACCCATTGAGCTATACTGGGGAGTGTCCCCGTGATACCCACAGTCTCTCATACCAGACTGGTCAATGGTTAGAGGTCTGACGAACACAGTCTCCCGGTCCTCCAGGTTGGGGGTTGGAACACGTGGCGACATCATCAGTGCGCAGTGATGATGTCTCCTCGTATGGTGACGAAACGTTTGCAAGCCAGTTGCCAAGCCCGGCGAACAGATCAACAGCCATCGGATTAACAACCAATAAACCCACACGAGCTACCAATATTTCAACTTACCAACAGTCGATTATTTTCAATAAGGCTGAAGCATCTGTATAGGGTATCTAGGCTTTTCAGTGTAGTCCCGCCTAACGGGAGGTATCTGCTCGAAAAGCCTGTACACTGCTAATTATTTTCAGTAGACAGTACCTAACCGGTAGAATAGATGAACCTGCCTCATAACAGCTGTGACCTGACCACCTAAGGCTCGGGGTTTTTGCGATGTGATGAATTTAGAGTAACCCAATATCGGCGGTGAAAGCATTGGATAAAGTTAGACGCATTACGTGGCTCAGCTGTAAAGACTTTTTGTTTTAATGAATGTGCAGAGATTTAGAAAAGTTCTTGTCTTCAGGTTGGAAGACACTGGAAGCTTATATCATGAAATTACTGACGTCGGTATTTTCACGAAGTTATGCGTTTGACAACAGCGAGTCTTCTTTCAGACGTAAACCGCCACTCATTAAGTTGCTGAAAACTCTTCGACAAATTGCAACCGGTTCGACCCTTCTTGGGGCTGACCACGTAGGCACAGCCCGCGAGTTTCCCTCAACCTTATGCTCTACTTGAATGCAAATTGCACGGACTTTGACCTATACATTTATCTTCGTACCACTATGGTGTTGACGGAAGGATCACGTGGAATGCAGCTGAATCGCTTGTTTATGATGCTCTCATAAACGATAAATTCATCTGGGTTAGTCGAGTCTCAAACACGAAATAGTACGCAGATGAGTGTATAAGTGTATAAGTTTCCTCTATTCATCAGGAGCTGTAAAAACACTTTTTCATAGTCACAGTTTGTCATACCTGCCAATATTGGTGCCGTTTATCCTTAGCCGGCTTTCGTTAACGAGTTATGTAATTGCCATGTTCTCGAACTCACACGAGGCTATGTAACAGGCTTGTCAATGTCCCATGCTTTCATCCTTGCAGATCAAACTGATGCCATTGGATTCATTCGCAGTGATTGTACCATCCCCAGAGGTGGCACATTGTGCACGAACCGCCGTGCTACTTGCAACGTTGGTCCGATCTGAGCCGCTTGTGTTGATGATCTTTCTTTGCTAGTTACTACACACCGCCCCGTGTCTGGATGAATGATCTAGGACCGCTACTCACAAGCTCGCCATTTCTACGTTTTCTCTCCTATTGGCACTGGGATTTCCGACCCGCGAGTTAGTGGGGTGAACCGTAGTCCGCGTCTCAAGACTTCAGTATTTTATAAATGTACATACATACGTATCTTGCGAGTACTTAGTCTCTGGCTAGCGCTCACTACTATTCTGCGTTTTTCTGGCCGCCTGTTCGTTCTTTTTATGTGCTCATCGATTTTGAGATGAAGTTATCCAGCCTTAGTACAGTCACTACATTTGATTTCTAAGCACAATCTCTGATTTCATCTACAGGTAGGCAAACATTCCGGTAGACCAGTGAACAGAGCAAAATGTTCCGCTTCTTGAGCACAAATTTCATATTAAGCATGTTTAGGATCTTTCGAATGATGATGGGTGTTTTTGATTTAAAGAGAATAAAGAAAGGTTTGTTCAGTTACTTATTTTGCGTTTTGCAACAGGTACCCTTCATACCTGATTTTCAGTCTGACTAGATGAATATTGGCTATCTCAAAAAATCTGTTTTTATAATCCAACTTGGGCCAGCTTCAAACCAACTTCTGTGCACACAGCCCTAGCTCGGGTAAGCAGTGACGAGGCAGTACTCAAGAACACTGCCTTAATGTGTGCCGGTCAATACTCAAATCCATTCCATTTCTGGGTCACTGCGTTTTCATATTCCTACTACACTTGCTTGTGTCTTGGTTATCATCTCAGTTATACCAGATAGCAGTTTGTAGCCACATCGGTATCGTTTGCGCAACACCACAATGAGGGATCACTGGATTCAAACTTTGCTTCCCTAAGAGCTTATCAGTAGCGAACTACAGTCATTCGCACACAAATTTGGTTCTGCGAGAGACCCACCTGAAACCCAGTGATGTTTCCATGCAACTGAACGTACTGCACCAGGCCGCCTCATGTTTCAGTTGCTACTTTATTCAAGATATCGCGATACATGCATATTCGCATTGCACTACTCATAAGGTTGCTGAAAATTCTTCGACAGTCCACGACAGGTTTCGCCCTACTTGAGGCCCATCAGGTAGGCGCAGTCCCCGAGTTTCCGTCAACCTTATGTTCTATTAGAAACCAAATTGCACGAGATTAGTTGAGGCTCTCACAGAACTAAATTTGTTTGCAAATGAGTGTATTTCGCTAGTATCATGCTACTTGATATCGAGTAGAACATAAGGTTGACGGGAACTCGGGTACTGCGCCCACCTGATGAGCCCTAAGTAGGGTGAAACCGGTCAGGGGGCTGTCGAGGAATTTTCAGCTTATCAGTAGTTTGCATCATTGCCCGTGATGGACTGGTACCTTGGTCCTCTGACCCGTGATTCGGGCATAGCATCGCTTTTCCGCGAACGCCCGCTATAGAGCCAAGAGTTATCACCTTTGAACGAGTGAACACCCTCATGCAACTGTTTTTCACGACCCTTTGAACAGTTTGCTCTTATGCCATGTTGATCTCTTGCCACGAACCGCGATTTCATATCAATTCCTTCTTGCTAAACAGGATAACGTGCAATCACTCAGCTTCCTAACCTTCAAATCGACCTAATCCAGACTATTCCTTAACCATACGTGGAGCCTTTTGTTTCATGAAAAGCTTACCTAGAAATCTGTGTCCCAATTGAAATAGTTGTCAAAACTCTGTTATTAAGCTTCCTCCTCTAAAACAAAGTTTACATGTAATGTCAAAGAAACAAGTGATAAACTGTCAACAAACTGTCCTTGTGTGAGGCATTCTAGTTTGAAGGTGACGTACCCAATCCGCCTTCATTTCCAATCGTTTAGGAGATTTCGAATTGGTCGGGGTGACACCTTTGGTTCCCGCAACGTAGAACGCTACCATACAAGGGCGATCTCTTGAAATTTTTAAACACAACCGGCCAATACTGGAAAGTACTGCCGGAAATATTTGACCCAAAAACTATAAAGCATTTTGGCAGAGGTTTTCCTTCCCGTGCCTCTGTTTTCTGGCTCAAACGTTATAGACACAAGGGACGCCGAAACGGTTAAAATCAACCACTGTTTTAAAGACAGGGACCGATAGAGCTGGTATTAATTTAGTGAGTCTTGTGAAGCCGACAACTGAGTATCCGACTAGGTGGGACCCATACAGGACTTTCGTATCCATAAAATGGGCCCACAAGTACTTCTGGTTTCCGGACTAATAAACTTGCCTCCTGCAATCTAACGGCTTAAAGTCTTTAGTGAAATACACACCTTCGAAAACCAGTTTGATTTTGCGGGAGACTCACCTGGAACCCAGCTGATTCTTTCGTTTAGTAAAGTGTACCCCAGTTTTATCATCGAAAATTCCCACTTGATGTTGTTCACCTCTAAAGTTTTATTATTTTGTAACCAGATTTCCACAGGGCCAAGATAGCATAGTGATACCCTGCCACACTGCATATGTTATAGTTATCTAGCGTGTCCACGAATTTTTCCATAGAAGAAAATCAAAATGAGAGTCTTTGTCGAAATCTTTCCGATTTGGGTTCAAGTAGCACATAAAGTTGATGAAACCTTGGGTGCTGCGCCTACCTGATGAGCCCTGAGACGGGCCAAACCGGTGGTGGGCTGTCGAAGCATTTTTCAGCAACTATATAAGTAGTGTATTAAGTTTAACTTCTTAGTGAGGTTTTTACAGGCAGCTAAGCTCTCAGTTCTGTGTTCGGTATAAAGAAGAGGGTTGAAATAGATGCACTGACGTTGCGTTCAAGGTTTTCCGCAATACTGTAAGCGAATGCTTAGCAAAAACTTTGGCAACTACCCCATTAGTCGACCACTATCTGCACACGAGCAGACTAACTCATTGGTGCACAATGACGAAATCTGACGATAGAGTTTGCCACGTAGGTCTTGTCTGATGATAAGACGGTTGGTGAAAGTCATGTTCGGACGAGCCGTATAGATTACTACCTTTGGACGTTCTCTGATGGGCACCTTGATTTTCAGGTCTCCTTCGAATGGAAGATGGAGGTTGGTTGACTCCAGTTTTAATTTCCATTTCGCTTAATTTGGGGGTTTCAGCTTGACGTTTTCCGCCAGCAACTTCCCGTATAGCCATTCTGTTGAAGTACATCTCCCAAAATGTTCATTTTTCCCTCTAGTCTGCTTTATCAGTAGATTTTTAACCCTGTCATATGGACAATGTACAAGATTCTGTTTGATTCTGTTTCCAGAACTTCATCTACTAATTTGTTGACATTTGTTTGTGATATGTACAACTTTGCGTCGACCAGTCTTGTTTTCTTGCCAGAGACACGTCAAAAAGGGTTAACTGATTTTCCATTCATTTTTGCACGCAGAGGATATGCCTTGGTAGGCTTTATTAAAAGAGTCTTACATGCAGACAGAAACAAAATATCGTCAATATATCAACTATAATGAAGAAAAGGCTCCATTATATTGACAAGTGGCAATTCTTCAGGTTTGACCATTAGACTCAGTGCGAATCGAATCCTCCAGGAGATTTTGGGGAATGTAATGATGATTGGTCATTGTTTTGACGACTATCAATGTGTATGCATCGTCTTAGCAGTGAAATACTGTTCACATCCACTTGTGGAACTTTGTGGTGCTTGCCTGCTATGAAAGTCTGTTAAGTCTTCACGTACAATTTTTCGGTTTACTTTTCTACACATGAGAATATGCGAACGTGAGCATTTACCTTAGCTACCTGGTTCCCGTCTTGAAGCAAACTATGCTTACTCATTTTTCAACTCCTTTATAAGATAGAAATTAAGATTCAGGTGAGGTCTGGTCTTGAATTAACTCAACCAACGAGGATTCTAAAACAGTCTTACGGTGCACTGACTGTTGACATAGGTAAGTAAGCGAAGTTTGGGATGCGTGTTATAGGGAACAACATCTGACTGCTTTCGCATGTCGCGGTCTGGGAATTCATTGAAAATCAAAGTAGTCCACTTCTAATCCCTTAGGGCTTAAGCCGAAAGGTCACACGTTTAGCTCGTTATCGCTTTTGTTTGATGCAAACATAAAATTGCATACCAATTTGGTTTTGACGGCAGACTAATCTGGAACCCGGATGAACCTCGTGTTTTTATGATGTATTACGTAAAGTGGTTGATTTTGGTCTCGTTTCACGTTCATTTTGTGCATGACCACTTGCAAAGGGAGGTAATTGGAAGTTACGATACGGCAATCGGGAATAGGACATATATTTGTGGTTCAGATGAGGACAGTAATTGCATACAAATTGGTTTTGACGGCAGACTAATCTGGAACCCGGATGAACCTCGTGTTTTTATGATGTATTACGTAAAGTGGTTGATTTTGGTCTCGTTTCACGTTCATTTTGTGCATGACCACTTGCAAAGGGAGGTAATTGGAAGTTACGATACGGCAATCGGGAATAGGACATATATTTGTGGTTCAGATGAGGACAGTAATTAGGGAAATATGCCATCGTTTTTACCAAATTCAGGCATGCGTGTCTTCCCGTCTAAACCGAATTCGTAAAGTGTAGTCAGCTGTTGAACTGATAACAAATAAGGACTTGTCTAACTTGGATGTTGGCGGGTTGCGACCATTCACGATTATTGGGGCTTACAGATGACTTGGTTAACACTATCGCTTGTCAATCATTTGGCGATCACGTAAACACGCCGTTCACTCCCGCAAAATCTTATCGGACACTTCTCACTGAAGAAGATATGAATACTGGACGCAAAAGACAATTCAGTATGAAGAATACAGCTGCTGTCACATGGTTTAAACAAAATCTTGTCGACATGTGTAGCTTAAAGTTACGCTCTAACTATTTGGTTTAAATATACACTTTCATAGCATTGTCGTGACCAGAAAGACAAAGTTCATAATGCCTAGAGAGTTGCGAGTGGGGAGGAATTCACAACTTATCACATCTGATAAAAGCGAAATGTAGCATATTTTTCTCGTCTCTTGTTAGCTGTTTGTATGAGCGGCCGATGCACCGATCAGGTACACATACTTAGTCGTATATATATATATATATATATATATATATGTATATATAAGGACGTAGTGACTGGTTTCCGTGCATGGCCAATCGATTGATTAAGGCTGTTTTTCAGTCAATAAAATTATGCGAAAATGATTCAAATTCTGATGGGAAAAGCGTAGAAAAACACATGTTTGATCAGATGCATATGGCAACGAAGCTATCTAAGCTAAAAAGGCTCTGAAACGCAAGTGACGAGATCCAGTTTTGTTAGTACGATGGCCATGTTTTGTGGATGCCGAGATCTGCAACAGCATTCGAGCACCTTATTCGACTGGTTGTCAGTCTGCTCTCCAGCTTGGCAGTTTAGTTTCAAACACTTCATCACCAATCGAGGTGACATCATCAGTTCACGGTTTGGTAAGCGAACAGACTAATATTCCAGCAGCGTACACGAGCTGCCGATATTCTGCAACATCGCGAGCAAAGTGCTCATTTTACTACATCAGAGGGGGATTAAACCTAATTCAGAAAGCAACTCAATTTTCGAAGAAGTACTCATCTGCACTTAGAATAAATCCTTCATTCTTGGGTGATGTGGATATTCCGAGTATTCATTAAGAATTTCAGGCTAGTCACTAGATCAAGCTTCGGTGAAAAGGCAGCTCACACTGTACAACAAGTTAGCGCAAGTAGGGAATAACCGACCGTTCGAATCACTCTAAGAGAGTCGAATTCGCGGCTTGCAGATTTTTTTTTCATTTGAAAACCATTCCATCTGACCACGAGCAAGGGGGTCAGCAGCGTGGTGCCACCATCCTTCAATCAGTTGGTGCGCATCGCATTATCCGGTGTTGACTGGCTCATTATGTGACAAATTTTCCGCCTGACACACTTTTGTCACAAAGTTCTTTTTATGGTATTCGGACTCCGATCGGTCCATGAGTGAAAACGTGAAATCCCGAAAGTGGCACAACTTCGAGCCCTAGTGACGCCTGGGAGTTACAATGAGTCATAGAAGAGCCTGTCGAACACCATAGCGAATAAAAGAATTTAAGCACCCAGCTATAAGATATTAGCATCTATGCAAATCAGATGACCTTATGTTGGTTCCACATTTAGACGGTCTAGACGGCATAAGGAATTTTCCTTGTGTATTCTGCAGGTACAGTTCATTCTCTCATTCATTCTGTGGACTGTTTTATTATGTAAACAAGTCATCGGGTCATTCTGGGGTCACGTGTGTACATTGCAGTGTATCAGAACTAAAAGTGGCGAGCCAATAGCGCAAGGCGCAATCGAGGGAATCGACTTTGGAAAGGGAATTCCGACTCATGACAGGTAGCTTACTTCACCACATGGCCCAGCATCAATTAGAACAAAAATTGTTCGACAATTATTCGGTAACCATGGTGTTAATCGTCTGATTTTTGCTTGAGGTCCACTAGTAAACCTGCAAACATTATTCATTCGCCCGTCTTCTCTATGTCGCTACAATCTATGTTTATAGTTAATCTGATTCCAAAGGTCTGCAAATTTTTTTCCGTCGGGAGTCATTCTTTCTTTATAGTGAAGCCCGGGATGGGGTATAGAAAATATAGCCAACTTATACGGTTGACCCTCTCCGCAGCAGGCCCGTGAGCAAATACCTGTCTAGATTAACACTTCTGACCAGTTTCATCAACTGCGTGTTGTGAGCTTTATAGAATCGGTTTCTGTTTACCTGGCGGCAGTGAAAGTCTGTCCTCACATACTCAGCTACCCATTTTCCCTACGAAATCAAAGAATAGGTTAAAATCATGGGCATCCGTATTAGAGAGCCTTCAACCTCTATATCGTCTGTTTTCGGCTGAGTGGATCAACCGTATCAGCTGTTCCAGAGTTGCGCATCAATGCGTACTCACAAACGTTATTCCTGAGTACAGTGGTGTGGTAATTAGAGCCATTTATAGAAGTGTGAGGAAACTCAATCAGGACATCGCTTATACCAAAACTTAAACTCAGCCTTCTGAAAAAAAAACTTTAAATTTGTTGGTAGAAAATAAAGGACTGGGTAATCTTCGGTGTAAAAAGAACCGATTTTGCAAAGAATCAGATGTACGAAGCAAAGATCATTTGTTTCTGTGGGACGAGATACAGAGACAAAGTGACCAGCTGAGCTAAGGATGGACAAGAGACGTTCAATTTATCGTCTCTAGTCTTCTCAGATCCAGCTTCTATACACAGAATTTGGTTCCACTCGGGCAGGTAATATTCCAGAATTTTCTGTACTTCTCTGAAGAACGCTTCACTCGTTGTCATTCTGTCCGTGCTATGAATGAATGCTTGGTTGCATCGTAGAGTGTCCTTCGCAACTGCCATCAGGAATGCACAACATAAACTGTAAAGTTTAGGCTACTTCGTTTTTTACGTTAAATGCCATTGAGTTTAAGCGGAATTTTTAAGTGTGCCAGCCGTAATACGCAGTTGTATGCTCAGTTGAATGCCTGGCTGGCTTAGGTCTCCATGGCGAATTCTTGGTGTTCGTGAAGATACTAGCCGTTTTCCGTCTTTAGATCAGCAAGTGCGATAACTTCAAATAATCCGGTTACACGTTGCCGCTCTACAAACTCATTTCAGAAAGGATTTTTTTGAGACAAAGTAGGGTGCTGTACCCCTTTTCTTCGTCTGAAAACGGTACATACCGATGAGTTATAAATAATTTGACTGATATCTACCTCTCCTGCATCCATTCTTTACTTAAGAAATTCTGTCGTTCTTACTCGCAGTAGAAATTACGGATGTGTTCTGCTCTGCTTACTCGAAGGATCTCGAAAACGCTTCCATCAGGTATCAAGAGAGAACAGACATCGAATGGAGGAATGTGGATGGTGATGCCATAAGCATATTAGGTGGTGAAATCTAAAGACAGCTCATACACTCTACATTTCGTTAAAGCTTTCACGCATTAGCGTATGCAGGACGTAAATGGTGTGGTCTCCAGCGAGGTAGAAACAAACGAAAGGGGTCATACCGGCACCGAATTTTCCGAAAACAGGACTCGCCCCGGGGTCAACTCTTGTGTATGCACGGCAGATTATAATCGCGAGTGGTGTTGGTAGTGACAGCCCGCGACCAGTGGAAAATGACAAGGATTTAACTCAAGGCCTCAGTCATATTTCATCCAGTCGCAGAATTGTGGCAAATATAATGTTGTAACTTCGAACTCCTGAGTCAAGCATTTGGCGCAGATACAGACAGGCTTTGTTGTTTTTGTTGTTGTTCGGATGACAGAGGCCATTCTGGTTTACACTGTGATAAGCAACATGTGTTTACTTTGTAAGGTCAGAAACGAATTCATCTTGATATCTGTCGCATGTTTGCAGGTCGTTTGGTGCGGTAAGCTGGGTAAGAAGCGACCGAGTTGGAAAACCCCACGAACATGAGTTAAATTTTTTGCCACGTCTAGGTTTGGGAGTTATCGTTCGGCCCCCTCGCATGAAACAGTCTGCCTTCACAGGGGCGAATAAATTACTAGAGACTGAACGAAGCTTGAGATTCTTCGATGCGACTTCTCACTTGTGTAGGGTCAAATGCGACTTTATTGATTAGCTCGTTGCCAAGTTATTAGCACTGGAATAATGGCGTTTCCATGCTGCAAGTGAAGGCCGAGAAGCTTTTTACACATGTTCCAACCTCGCTGAGAATCACTCCAGTACACATCTCACAATTCTCTAGAGAGAATCGAACCTGGGTGGTGTTGAAGACTATATTGTCCAGCTATGAGTGGTCAATCGTCGGCGTGATAGACTCGCGAGTTGCGCACTGCTGGTGATCTCCAAAAGGAGTGAAAAATCTGTACTTACATATCGACACAGACTGACTTCAATTTCGTTATGAAACCACGACCAAATTGCCGGATCTTACTGCCCTCATCGACACCCAAATAACTGTTTGTGTGTCCCAACGAGTTCTGTACTTTTTGGGGGCCGATAGTTACGAGGTCTCGGTGTCCATGAAACCGTGATACAAAGGGTTTAATCAGGATTGGTGTATCTGCTGTCTGACTGAACCAATCAAAAGTGATAAGAACAATTTGAATTGATGGTCAGTCCTTCCAGAAAAACCTGATAGAATGCCACGGACCCCATAATGCTTTTTCAACATGCCCGCTTATGGAAGGTTCACTTCTTCTGAGTAGGGGATAGGTATGTGTTGTCTTCAAAGCCAACCCCCCTAATGCTTGGTTGCGAATTATTAGGTGCGGAGATTCCTGCGGAAGTAAAAGTCGGTTATCCAACGCTGTATGTGAATCTGCCTGCGGGATTAATTTTAGAGGTTTTTCTGGTTCAGTTATTAGCAGATCTCCAGCCTTCCAATGTCTTTTTACACAGCAACTTATCTGCTGATTAGGATGATGTTATTGAGTGACCTAAGTAAGTTGTAGCTGAGTCTCATGTCTTTAGTAGTCTCCAACTAAATATGCTGCATGCGGGCCGCCAACTCGTCTCAGTTGGAAAGACAACAAAGTAATTTTCTAGACATTGCATCTGTACATATGAGGATGATAAAACTTTGGATGGCAAACCACAAGTGTAACATTTCGAGGGTCCCATCAAGTCAGCTGAGTCCTTCAATTCTGTAACTGAACACTAAACTGGCGAGAAACACTAACCGACAAATCAAGGGAGACTAAAGTTAATCTCGGGTGAAACCCATTTAAAGTATCATTGGGAACTAGGCCAGCTGCTGAACGTCAAGAAGGGCCTAACCGGTGACAGGCGTCCAAGGCTCTTCGTAAGTCTGACAAGTAATGACATACGAACTGGCAACCCTCTGATTTCATCAGTAGAGCTACAAAATTCGTGTAACCATAAACAAAACTTAAACTTCGAGAAATACACTCATTAGCAAATCAATTTGGTTTTCACGAGAGACTCAACTGAATCTCTCGTTTATGATAGTCTACAACTGAAAGTGCTGCACACAGGCCGCTTCATGTTTCAGTTGGCATGATATTCGAAGTATAGCAGTGTATTTTCACAAAGAAAACTACTCACAAGGTTGCTGGAAACTCTTTGACAGCCCACGACCGGTTTCGCCCTTCTTAGGGCCCATCAAATAGTTTCCGTCAACATTATGATCTAGTTGAACCCAAATTGCACTGTTTTTGAGAAATGCACTCATTTGCAAATCGATTTGGTTTTCACGAGACTCAACTGAATCTCTCGTTTATGATGAGGCGGCCTGTGTGCAGCACTTTCAGTTTTAGACTATCATAAACGAGAGATTTAGTTGAGTCTCTCGTGAAAACCAAATTGATTTGCAAATGAGTGTATTTCTCAAAAACAGTGCAATTCGGGTTCAAGTAGATGATAATGTTGACGGAAACTCGGGGACTGCGCCTACCTGATGAACCGCAAGAAGGGCGAAACCGGTCGTGGGCTGTCGAAGAGTTTTCAGCAACCTTGTAAGTAGCTTCCTTTGTGAAAAAACTGAAACTTCATAGGATTCGTGACGGTCGAGTATCGAAATGGAGGAGGCCGAGAACTAGAGGTCGTATTCAGCAAATTTTAACAAGTAACTGAGTTCTTTGTATTTGAACATCTTAACGGCGATCCTAGGGGACGAACGGTTTCACTGGATGTCACTTCGAAGACCGCTGGCGATTTCCATATTTATTAAGCACATTCTGTAAAGTGTTCGGGCTGGAAAGAATATGATCGGTTTTTTGTTTGCCCGGAGCAACACTGACCCACGAACGATTCCTTTCTTCAATTTTATTACTGATTTTGACTTGAATCGAGTTGACGACAAGGTGACCATTGAAAAGATTAATGATGGTGGCTGGTTGAATAAACCAGTTTTTTTTAAATGAACCTTTGCTTTGCCGCCTAAGAACAAAACATGATTGTCAAAACATCCACACGGCAGGAAAGCATCTTGTTTACATAAGAAGACTGGCCTTTGGAAAGATGTTTGCAGGTTGTCGAAAAGTGTGTTTGGAAACCGAGGACTGCACGGTGTTCATGGAATACTCAAGATCCGACTGGTCACCCTTTTTCGTTTTCGCGAAAAACTTCTCCAGTGTCGAGAATAGTCACTCTATGTAGGCGGACCTTTGATACTAGTTATTAGGTAGAATTTTTCTAACAATGCTGCTTGCTGGTTGAATTACTCTAATCCGAAGTACCTTCACTTTGGTGATGGCTAGACTGTCCTAGAGGTGAAACTCAGTTGATCTTGGCGAAAGCTTTTTGTACTTCAATACAATTGTTGGCAGATGCATATTACGTGATAACAGTATTGGATCGTATCCATAACGTTTGTAAAATGCCCGTGGTTCATTATCAATCGTGACATTTCTGTACAGAATCGATGGCTTTGGATAGAGGAGGATCCAACCCATTGCAGAAGTTTCCTCCAGCCACTCATGTGTTAAACTCATGAGGATGGAGCTTTTTTCACTTTCGGTCATCAAGCAGATCACCAGTAACCTAATCCTAAAGCACAAATATTAACAAGCTTTCAAATAACCAAGCAAGTGACTTATCTGTTTAACAAACGATTCGTCACCTAGGTTAGGTCATTTTCAAAAAGGAAACTACTCACAAGGTTACTGAAAAATCCTCGACGGCCCACCACCGGTTTCGCCCTTCTTGGGGCTCATCCGGTAGGTACAGTCTCGAGTATCCGCCGAGTTTATGTTGTCCCAGGGTTTATTTGTAGCTGCTAGAATGGTTGCCTCTTTGTTGCATCATCGAATCATTTTAGAAGCGTTGTTAAGCTCTTTTTCATCCTCAGCCCTTAACTGAGCATCACTCTTACCTTACACCGAATCATTTTGTAACAGAAGAGAGTGAAGGCGATCCGATGTTTTAGAGAAACAGATCAATCTAAAGCTGTACAGAAAACGTAGCGGTTCAAGCATTATCGATTTGGGTTGATTCCGATCGTTGGTCTGTGCACGAACAAATGAAATCTAAGCAAACAAATATAAGCCCTTCTAGACGGGAATCGCAGTCTACCTTAGTAGATAACATCACAGACCTCCTTTACTACAATCAGGATGTTTTTATACCTGGCGGGACATCTGCAGGTCTACTCCGGGCTCGGTCTTGAATTGCACACGTGTCGTACCTCCAATTAGAAGGTGAACCAGTAAGCGACCATAGAAGGGAGTTCAGCGACCTCATGAGGAGTGCTTACTCTCAGAATGGTAAGAGTTACTTAGTGGTATTTGAGATCCCTATCGTTCGTGTGGGTTCGGTCGTACGGACTATTAGCTACGTCACTTTCAATGTAGGAATTTAACACAATTGGACTTCATGTTTTGCATCGAACGTGAAACCTCAATTGAACTTTGTCATTTTGACCTCATGCTGATACTGATTTAGTTCCATTCTTAAATAATAAGCAGGAGTTTGCCTAGAAACAGGGCAATTTGGGTTCAAGTAGACCATAAGGTTGACGGAAACTCGGGGACTGCGCCAACCTGATGAGCCCCAAGAAGGGCGAAACCGTTCGTGGGCTGTCGAAGAGTTTTCAGCAACCTTGTGAGTAGTTTCCTTTAGGATTTTGCCTAATTTGACTATCTAAAGAACCAATCCCAGTGATTTCTTTGGGGTCCACTGCTAGACAAGGATAGTTTTATTCTACAACACTTCAGTCAATAACAATGGTGGGGTGCCAGAAGTCAGAGCCTTTAGAGAGGGGGCTGTTGAAAAGCATAGTAGAATGCGGAATTCGCCCATGGTGTGTGCAAGTCTTATTCAATTTGCCAAAGCTCCACGATTGTTTACTAAGTGGAGCGAAATACGGTGTTATTGTTGCTGTCAGAACCTTATGAGCAGTGTTGTAGTACAAAGATTTGTCCTTCGTTCATGACGGAGCATTTTTGAAACCAAAATGAACCGCAGGTGACCATTCCGGCGCATTACCTATTGTCCAAGATGTTCGTTTTTTTTCGGTTATTTGTGGAGACGGTGTTGGTGAGAAAAGCGAGTGGGATTCTACCTACTGGGTCCTTCTAGATGAAAATGATGGGTAAAAACAATCAGCTGTGCGAAAAGAATTAGTACGAATATTTTGTTTTTACTTTGTGTGCGTGTTGAGGGTGTTTTGATTGATCACAAAGAAGTTTTAGTGAGAACTCGAAATAGTCCGTGGTTCTCTACCTAGTGAAACCCATCACGTAGCATAGTAGGATGAACACATGATCCTTTGATTAAGAAACTGAGGTCCTTACCCTTGGCCTACAAGACTGAACAGCTATAGACTTTCGACCAGGTTTGAAATTTGGTTTGCACAAGCTATTGGCTTATTCTAGTGGTCATTGGCCTAATGTTTTGTCTGACCAGTCATCGAGCCTCACTTAGAATCCTTGCTGTGGAATGTGGACCAATACCACCAATAATAGTGAGGCAAGTCTATGCTGAGAAGCCATAAAGCACTGCACAGCTGTATACCCTCGAACCCACGGCCTCCCGGCGAATGTTCGAACCCTTACCAGTTTGGCCCCAAGCGGATGAACAGCAGTATGTTTAGCAGTGTGACTTCGCTCATCCTCCAAGCAAAGAAACTAAATCGCCTTGCTAGATTTTAACTGGCTACTTGAATGACCACTTCTCAGAGAGAAGCTTAACTCATCTGAATTTGTTCTTCCCCTGAGCCACTTACAGACGATGTGAGAGCTAATCACATTGATCTTCAGCCGCTCGTGACCAATCAGCCAACTGTTCAACCACTGGCCGAAAGGTCGTGGTTTGAAAACTATGAGATTCATGAGATACGCATTTCTGATGATTCCCAAGGAGCACGAAACAGCTGTACAGTGATTATCGGCCTCCCACCATCGAGTGACCTCATTGATAGGACAGAACCTCCGGTAGAAGTTTGTGACAGAAATGCGGAACAAACCTGCATACAAGCCTTCTCATCCTCATCAGGACTCATCAGATAGGCCTGAAAAGAAGGTCAAATGTACATCGATTCATCAGTTATGAAGTGTATAACATTTGTACACTGGTTTCATCTGCCATAGTGTTGACCACCGCAAGGTTGAAGAGTGGGAAAAATACAGCCAAGTCTTGGAGGCGATGACATAAACAGGTAGTTCTGGAATTGGGCAGCTACGCAGTGAAAGCGGTAGTTTTCGTGCACGAGTTCCGCTGACTGCTCGATTGGGTTATGTCTGCCAGTGTCACCAACCAGGGATATGGCAGCTGTCGACCTGACTCAGTTTGCTGGTTAGTGTTTTCATAATTTGTTGCTTTTTTGCTGCCGCCACTCAGTACAAGGCTTGACGAAAAGAGTTCCGCGAGGCAGACGGTCCTGTTGCACGTTGAGTTCATGTCCTAACTGGCGTGACCTACCAGGTGTGAGTAATTCATCTACCGCGTGACCCATACTTTGGGGACAGTGATGGTCAAACACTGACAACTTCCGCATGTTCTCTGTGGAGACCACGTTCCCGATCCATAAAGCAGTATGGATTGCACTGTTGCAGTGAAAACTCTGCAATCTGGCCTTCCTGGCATGGTTGGGGCTTTAGGAATGGAGTTCCAACGAATGTAACCCGCATGATCACTGCATCACAGAAGCCCGACCACCAGAACAAGGTGACAGCTTTACTTTGGGGTCAAATTGATATAAGCAGCTTTGGTGTTGACTAAACTCCAAAATCGCCCGGAGTTACTACCCCCTGAATGCTCATGATGAGAAGAAAGTACAGTCCACTCAACACACTACTCTTAGGGCCGAACGGTTGTAATTAACACAATCTCTTGAATTTCCAAACAAGACCTTTTAATTACAACTTTGTGACGCATTCCACACTGGCATTTTATTGAGCATAGCCAACATGATGCTGCAGAATGGTTCGGGTCCCTCAGGAGTACTACAGAGTTTTTGACTATTTAGAGTGGCAGTGGTGTTTTCAGAATGAAGACCTCTGATCCGGCTCTCATCAATTGTGTGCACCAACTTACTATTCGATGGCAATTCAAGCAGTCGTGGTGAATCGGTTTCATCGCATATCAATTTACGAGTTATGTCATCTTTTGTGCGTTATCCGGAAAGCACTAAACACCAACCACCCAGAAAATACTACAGGACTAGATAGCC